CAGCTATCCAACTTAATCAAAATGATGGGGAGGTTATGTATGTTAAGCAATCATTACGTCATAAGGTCAGGGAAATTAAATTGTCCGGGGCCTCTTATTTAAAGCTAGATATATTGAATAATATTGTTTTATGCATCTACAGGTCACCATCAAATAACAATGCAGAGAGTTTCATAGATTCTTTAAATGTACACCTTGAAGATCTAAATATCTCTAACAAAAATATAATAATTGCGGGTGACATTAATATAAATATTACCTTAAAACAGGTTGAACAACATTATGAACTTAAAAATAGGACTAATTATCTCAATATGCTGTCTTCACATGGTATACTAGCCGGTCACATTATTCTCACAAGGGAAAAAAACTGCCTTAATCACATCATGTTAAAAATAGATAAAGTTAAATCCCGTGCCAGTATCGCGGTTTTACACACGTCCACAACTGATCATCTTACTCCTTTACTATCTCTATCTAAAGTAAAAAACCGATTACATACTAAAAAAAGTAAAGTGAAAATAAATTTTGAAGCAAGGGCTTCTTCAAAATTTATTTTCACGCTTGCAGACTTGCGTAATAAAAATCTATCCGAACTCTTGTTTTGTGACGATCCCAATACGATAATTAGTCGACTAATCTACACTATAACTGAAAGACTAAAGGCCCACACTGTTTCATACAAAATTTCTTCCAAATAACGTGTAATAAAACCCTGGATGACACCGGGAATTTTACGATGCATAAGAAATCGTAACAAATAGAAATAGAAATTATTTATTCAATGTAAAGCACAGCACACATACAATTTACAGACAAAACAAAAACATAAAAAATAGAAGAAAGAAAGATAAGGGAGACAGGATGTGTGCTGTGTAGCCACTGAATTCGTCATCCACTCAGCTATTGGATCAGCTACAGCAAATTACAAATGAATGCAAAGAAAGACTAAATGATTGATTGATGAAAAGATTAAATGGAATCAAATACTTAAGATAACATTTATTAGATATAGAAACTATTGCAATAAGCTTATAAAAGCAGTTAAAAGAAAGTTTGAACAAGAAATACTAGCAAAATCTATGAACAACAATAAATTATTATGGAAGAATATTAAAAACATGACTTACACGACTAAAAATAAAAAACTCTGAATTAATTAATCTTAAATCTTCTCCTTCTGCCTCTGCCAACTTTATCAACGAATATTTTGCAAATATAGGTAAACAATTGGCTCAACATTCACTACCTAGTACACATGACCTTAATACTTACCTAAATAGTTTACCTTCTCAGTCAAACTCCTTTGTCCTATTGCCTACTGATACATCAGAAGTTAATGATATTATTGCAAGCCTCAAGTCAGACAGTGCGCCTGGGTGGGATAATATCTCTACCATATTTGTGAAACTAGCAAGAACTGATGTTGTCCCCATAATCATACATGCTGCAAATGTTTGCTTTAGTGAAGGCATTTTTCCAACCTTACTTAAACAGTCAATCATAACACCTGTGTACAAGGGTGGGGATAGAGACGAAATAAGTAATTACAGACCCATATCAGTATTACCAGTGTTTTGTAAAATATTATAACAAAAGACTTATTAATCATTTAGATAAGTATAACATTCTATCAGATTCTCAATTTGGTTTTCGTCAAGCAAGATCTACTGAAGATGCAGTCATTGCGCTTACTACATTAATCACTGAAAACCTTGACAATAGGAAAAAATGTATATCGGTTTTCCAAGATTTAAAAAAAGCTTTTGATACTGTCTCTATCCCTATCCTAATACACAAACTGGAAATGATTGGCATAAGAGGATTACGCTTTACGCTTCGCATTACGCTTGTTATCAAGTTATCTAACAGACAGGAATCAAAAGGTCAAGTTAGAAAGTTGCATCAGTGATAGTTCTAGGGTGACATATGGGGTGCCTCAAGGTAGTGTTCTTGGGCCAACACTATTCCTCATATACATTAATGATCTATGTAGTATGTTGGTCAAGAATGCTAAAATTTTTTCCTATGCGGATGACACTGCTGTCGTCTTTGCTGGGGACTCATGAGACTCGATCAGGATTAGTGTTGAATTAAAGCTTAAACAAATAAACAAATGGTTACGTAATAATGTACTCTCGTTGAATACTGTAAAGACCAAGTTTCTGTGTTTTACTAACTATAAAACACACAACCTAATAAGGACTTCAGTATACAAATCCACAATTGTGACAAAGAACTTACAAATTATTACGTACCTTGTACATGCCCGCGCATACAAAGGGTTGAACAAACAAAATATCTAGGTATCATCTTGGACCATCGTCTCTCTTGGTACCTACATCTCGAGCGTGTAATAATGAGAATCAGGAAACTAACCTGGATCTTCAAAACACTGAGATACGTCGTACCGAATAGAGGCGCTGTTATGGCAGTTAACGTGGTCTCTACTAGAGATCTTCTTAAACAGATGTATGTTTCTCTTGTAGAGTCTATTATTACATACTGTATTCCGTCTGGGGTGGTGCAGCTAAGTCAAAATTTATTGAAATAGAACGAGCTCATCGTGGTGTGATCAAAATGATGTATTTTAAAAAAAGAATTTACTCCACAGAAAAATTGTATAAGCTGACAAAGCTGACTTCTGTTAGAAAACTCTACATACTCTACATAGTAATAAAACAACATAAAAATTTACTATATAAACCTAAGGTTACAGGTAGAAGAACATATCATAAAATTGCATTAGTACCAAAAATAAAAACTACTGCGGCTAGTAGACAGTACAAATACAGGGCCCCATATCTGTATAACACTCTTAACAAAGAACTTGATATATACAACAAAATAGTTTATGACTGCAAATTAGCCATTACAAAATGGCTCGAAACTAAGTCGTATGAGGAGATTGAGCAATTACTACTAGTTTGAAATAAATAACTATATAAATAAATAAGTAAGCATGAAAGGGAGGTATTAGTTGATATAATATTGTAATTAAATTAAATCAAAAATGAACAGAAATATATGCGCTCACACACACACACACACACACACACAGACACACACACACACACACACACACACACCGACACACACACAGCCACACAGCCACACACACGCACACAGAGAGACACACACACACACACACGCACGCACACAGACAGACACAGATAGAAC